GTTGATGAACGGAGAAGCAGCACCTGGATTCGCCGCTGCTGTGGCAGCGTCGCTGCTTGCTTCACTATTAGGGCTGACGAAAATTTCGACCATCTTCCCAAACTTATAGATCTCTTGTCCACGGGCTCATAGAACAAGGAATCAATTTCTGAGAACTGGGAATAAAAGTGAGAATGCGAATTAGCTTATGAATAGTGATTCTTCAGGTCTTAAGGCCTCGATTGCACCACAGTCGTGAGCGATCTCTCTATCACTCTAGTAGGTCGCTGCGTGATGACTCCTTGCGCAACGCTGTGAACTCTGTCTTCACAGCGGCTTCGAACGACAGTGGCGAGACTGCTGCAAACTTGCAGCAGCATTGTCCGGCGGTGCACTCGCCATTGTTGCAGAAAAATATGGGGTAGAGTTTGGGTATTTTTGTCTCCGGCAAAAGAGAAATTTTGGGGAGGGAGTTTGGGTGATTCTGATTTGTTCTGCTTAGTCAGAGCCACTGTGTAGAGGCGCCATCTCTGCTGGATGGGAGAAATCTGGTGGCGATTTTGGTGTTGTGGTGGTGTTGGTGGTTGTGTTGTGTTGGGGTTGTTTTGTTTTTGTTTCTATTTCAGCTTGTGAGGTAGTGGTGGCGACGTGAGGTGGTGGTGTTGTGATGGTGAGATGGTGAAGGCGATTGTGAGATGGTTACAGATCTGACTGCTAATGGTGGTGGTCATTTTTGTTGGTGGTTGTATTGGTGCTACTGCGTGTGGCCACTATTTGAGGTGACGGTAGTGATGACTGGTGGTGGATTGTGGTGATCATTTGCGAACAAATACCGGGTAGTTTTTTGTGACCATTTGTGATCAATTGTGACCGATTGTAACCGTTTGTGACTGGTTAATTGTGACTCGTTGTGACCAATTATGACCAATTATGATCGATTGTGACTCGAAATTCTAAAATTTTTTTAGAAGTTGGGAATGGGTGGTTGAATATAAGGTTGGATAGATATGGAAGTTGAGATATTGAGAAATTTGAAACCCACAATTATCGGGATACGCGCGTAATTTAATTAAAAGATTAATTGTTTAATTAAAAAAATTAAAACCTGAATAATGAAAAAAAAATGTTAAAACCTGACTTTTTAAAACGTAAAACAAAATGCCTGGTTCCGTGTAATTACCACAAATGGAATACTACTCAATTATCCATAATTTTCACGTTTCGGACCATGGACCATAAATTTTTACCCGGATCTAAGACCCGCCCAAAATGTAGAAAACCAGATCAGCGTTAGCCAACCAAAACCCTAGCCTCCCTTGTATATTTAACCCTCACAAAGTACACGCTCGTCTCCTCCCAATTAGGCGCGACCGGCACCCATAATCTCTCTCACAAACAGTAAGTTCTTGCTGTTTGAGAAATGTCATCACCGTGTACATTCTGTACAAATTAATGCAATTTTTTTGGCGTATGTGAATTTTTATATATTTACTTGTTGTGGATTTGTTTGTATCTGTAATCAGAGATGAAGGTTGTAGCAGCATACTTGCTAGCCGTTTTGGGAGGCAATGCCTGCCCTTCCACCGACGATTTGAAGGATATCCTCAGCTCTGGTACTTATGTTCTCATTCTTCCACATTAATATACACTTGAATTGTGCGTTCTGCGTGTATATGCGTTTAAGTATAGTGTGTAAATTATGATTTTTTTAAAAAATAAAAAAATTGTATCATTAATTAACGTAACAAAAGTTGCATTAAGATTTTTATTGATCAATTTTCTGAGTATGTGAGATTGATTGTGCATTAAATAGTTATATTGTCATAAAGGCTAGAAAATTATGGTGATAAGTGTTTACTTCAGCTGTTTGTGATGAATGAACTAGAGTGTGTGTTGTTTTCGAATTTTATGGTGCTCCAACGTTGAAATGATTAAAGCTGCTGTTGAATATAATTATGAGAAATTTGTAAGGAGCAATTTAAGTTTGTAAATGATTCTGTACTTGTAATGTTTTTGAGGATAATTTTGACATGAAAGCCTATTACAATTGTTTAGAGGTGTGCATTATCTTATTATTGAGTTTGCCCTGGTGTTGATAAACACGTGCACCAGCAATTGAATCTTAAAGTAATTTTATGTTAAGTATGTGGCTGGTTTGCTTTGTTTTAGTTATCCAGAAATAACGAGCTTGCTTTTCACTTGTTATTCTCCTTATAAACCGTATGTATTTGATTTTATTTGTTTGAAATTCTAATTCACCCTCAAGAAGTCCCTTCATTAAGTTATTTTTGCCTTACTCTTTTAAGGATACATTTTGGTTACAAGTTTTTGCATTTTTTTTCCCACAAGAATCTGATTCTGTTCAGCATTGACAGAGATCTTTTCCCTTCGAAAGTTCACTATGCCAATAACTTTTGTTTGACATGTCATCTTTCAGCTGTTATTTAACTCTTACCATTTTATTTGTAGTTGGAGCTGAAGCCGATGATGACCAGATTGGGCTTCTTTTGACACAAGTTCAGGGAAAAGATATCACAGAGCTCATTGCAGCTGGAAGAGAGAAGTTGGCATCTGTACCTGCTGGAGGTGGTGCTGTTGCAGTGGCTGCTTCTGTTGCCGGTGCTACTGGTGGTGCAGCTGCTTCAGCTGCAGCGGAGCCCAAGAAAGAGGAAAAGGTGGAGGAGAAAGAGGAATCAGATGATGTAAGTCTTTCTACAGCTAATTGCGTTAAAAAGGTTATCATATCTAGTTGTTCAACTCCCAGTAAAATGGAATCAAATGATGCTAAGTCTTTCTACAAGTTATTGCATTTAGAATGGTTATTATATCTAGTTGTTCAACTCCCAGTATTCACTCTCTTTGAAGAGTTCAACTGTGTTGAAATCCTCTTTAAATTGAATTCAATCGTTATATGGGATTTCAAGTGAAGTTTTTGATTGGTTTGAGTACAGTCAACATACAGTGCATTGAGTGTGTATTATGAAAATAGTTCCTTTGGTTTCCTAATGCAATTTCTTACTCGTAATGGTCGCGAGATATTTTCACTAGAAACAGTTCATTTTATCCACCAGGACATCATAACTCCTATTCATATAATGGTCCCCCGTTACTATAATTTTTCTACATTAACTACAACTGTGTATCATGGAATAATTCCTTTGGGATTTATACTTCCAAGTGCTGACTTCTGACCAAACGTAATCCTTCATCATATTTATCCACTAGAACATCACACTGCATCCACTTATATTTGACCTTCGAGGTGTAGTTTTATATTGGGATCATCTGCTTTGTTATTTTTACATGCACAGAAGCAATGTTTATCTTCTGTTTTTCCTCCTTTCTGCAACTCTGATACAGATCCACATTTTCTGTTTTTGCACTTGCTGCAGGATATGGGCTTCAGTCTCTTTGACTAAAGGGTGTCATGACTTCAATAGCTTTCATGAGGGTGCTTTAGTTTCTGCTTGAAGGGCTTTTCATTTTTTAGTTGTTTTTCTCTAGCTTTTGGTGTTCACTTGTTAGATGAAATTTTTGACGAGCAAAAAATATTTCAGTCAGCAACGTCATTTTTGAATTGTACTTCGATGATCAAATAGATTAATTTTACCCTTCATTGGAATTGTTATTTTGCCTTGTTAATTATATGTTACACGAGTAACCATGCGCCGTGCCCTTCACCTTATTTTGAACTTCCTTTAAAGTGTATTCAAAATTGCTAGCCGTCTTGTGTAGCTTGAATTATTGTTACAGAGATTCTGAACTGGCAATATGTCCTGGAAATTTTTTCCGGAGCATGCAGATTGTACAACAAATAAGATTTTAGCATGGATCAATACTCTTCTAGACATTTGTTTTTTTTATTTACTACTAATTGTGATAGCCAATAGACATCAAGAACTGCAATATTGGATTATTAATTATCTTTGAAGAGCAGTTTCATAGTTGTGATACTATCAAATGTAAACTTTCTCCCAACATGACTTAACACAGGCAACTAGAGTCAAGAAAAGTTTGACAAATTTCTCCTAACACCAAAAATACTAGAGCCAATTCCTAATTGTTGAAATTGTTCTTGAGATACTTAACCTTGAATGTAAACAAATCACTTTCGATCCTTAGGGTTTGTCTAGGCCCTTTATAACCTTGATTTTGGGCAATAAATTTCTATCCTCTAGGTTCGTTAGACAAAATTAATATTGTGCTATATTAATTTTAAAAGGAATTTTGTATTTTGGGAGAAAGACGTCAATTTGATCGTGTTAAGACTCGTACAAAGGCCAAAATCTGTTTGAAGTAGGGACAATACTCTCAAACCGAACCGGATCGAATCAAATCGAATTGAATCGAATCGAACCGTTTTTCTTAAGTTAAATACTCGAATGAGTATTTGAATTGAGAACCGACAGGTTCGGTTCGATTCTCGGTTCTAGACCAAGAACTGAATAAGAACTGAATCTCCCTAATTTTTTTAATTTTTTATTTTAAATGAGTCAATTTATTTTATTTTTTTCTAAATGAATTTGTTAACTAATTAATTTAGTTCAAACGTAATATATATTTTATTATTTCTAGTTTTCAGTCAGCCCAACTTAATCAAATTAACCCAAATCTCTTATTTTACCGTAGTGTCGTTTCTGTCATTCTATTATTGTGAACTGACTATTTTTCTCTCTTGTGATTTTAACGGTCAAATTTATGAAGACCTCAACAAAGAGTTACGCAAAAGATATCACCAGATATTATTTTGTTAGAGTTAATGTTGAACATGTCATAGTCGAACTAATGTAGCGTTGTTGTAAATATAAAAAAATTAATTATCGTACGAAATAGAGTTAATGTTGAACATGTCATAGTTGAACTAATGTAGCGTTGTTCTAAATATAAAAAAAATTAATTATCGTACGAAACTCGGGAATCGAATAGAACTGAATCGAATGGAACCGAATAGAACTGAATGGAATCGAACCTGAACAGTTCCGTAATTAAATTTGTACTCGGTGGTTCCACTTACTAAATATCCGAAAATTTTGGTAACCAAATTGGACCATGTCTAGCCCTAGTTTGAAGGATATTTGTATTCGCATACTTTTCTTCATTTTATCTCCTTCTAATTTCTACATTTTACCAAGTCGATATTTTATACGCGATCTTGATTTCGAATATAATTTCTACACCAATTTATCCAATATAAATAAATAAACAAAATGATAAATTTGGATAATCGCCAAAATCCTGAAGACAAATTCCAAATTCTTCAATTAAACCATATGTTCTTCATAGATCCTGCTGGACTTCAAGTGATCTGCAAACTGATAGAAAGTCCTGGCCAGTTAACAGCATGAATTTTTATAGAACAGAGTTCAAACAAGGACTTAAATTCTAACTTTTTAAATTACATGTTTCAGAGTTAAAAATTATAAATTAAGTCGTGTTTCTCTTCATTCGTTAAAACTCTTTTTTTTTTAAAACTCATTTTTAATCATACATTTTTTAAATAAAATAATTTTACGTGTGGATCCATAACTTTTTGCGACTCATAATCACCTTTTTTTTTTTTTTAAATCCCTTTTCACCAAACATATTTTTAAAAATCTATAATAAATAGGGGCTAAACCTGTCTTCGTAAATTTAAATTATTTAGTATTAGTCTGAAGCGACAATGCTCCATCAATATAAGTAATTAATATAATATCTATCAATGTCTTAGGTATAGAAAAAATCAGTCCTACACTCCATAGAAAAATACAATACAAATCTTATTCTACAAAGAAATAAACAATTTATTCAACTCTTATTTTAATTATAAGACGATACAAAGTTAATAATTCTAAAAAATAAATCGCATTATTTCATTTTTTCTGATTGTCGATTTGCAGTGCATATCCAACTTCATTTTTGGCAATACATCTTCCTCATATTCACTGCGTAATCTTACAACGTTTCAAATTTCTTTTCATGCGAAGTGAAACTTCAACATTTAATTTTTCTACGTGCCTTTATTAAGAGTTATGCCGGCGATATTTTAAAATATATACTAGGCAATATTAAAGATAGATTAATATTTTCAAAAATAGAATATTAGCAAACATTAATGAATTAAGTAACTATGAATCAATAAAATATTATACTCGTCTTGACAAAAAGTACGATGATAACACATAAATAATATTTTCTCTTTAATGTTCCTCTCTTGAGCTTATTATTATTATTTTTTAAATTTTAATATAGATAAATACTTGTAATTTGAATTAAATCGGAGTGATAGACAATATTAAATAATAAATAAAATGAAGGCTTTTGTCCAACAACTGCATAAACCTCAAGCTTGATAAAAATTAACATATGCAATGTGACATTGTATCATTTGACAGTTTAAAATACAATTAATTTTTTCATCCAGTCATCTATCAATATATTCAATTATGTCAAATTTTCTGTCAAATCTGTTGACAAAGTAGCTTTATCCTTTGTCCACCATTTGAAATGCTGAGATGTTAAGGACACGTGGCAAGCCATAATACCAATTTTCATAGTTGGAAAATTTGTTGCATGGATTGGCATTACACGCGTAACAAAAACATTGCGGGACTCCTCTCACTTCTGCCTCTTTCTTCAAGTACAAGGTTCTGTTCACAAAATCGATACCAGAACTTGTGTTAATTTGTAGCAAATGGAAGAAACAAAATATGGATACTATGGTTTATGATGATCAAATCGTGATGTGTGAGTTGGAGGCTGCCGACGCTTTGGCGTCGAACTCCACCGTGCGCGGCGGCTCTTTGGCTTCCGGACAACAGAGTCAGCGAGGGAAGACTGAGACTTCTTCTCTTGAGGTTTTTAACCGGTCTTTCATAGTAAAAGGGAGATTTTACATGGTGTTTTCTTGAATATGTTGTTTGTTTAATAATTAATGTCTCTCAACGTTACTTGCTGTATAAGCACATGTTTGTTGCGTCAAATTCCTTTTCTGATATTTCCACTGAAATTACACAGTGATACACGAATTGGGATCTTAACATGAAGTTAGAATCTTGTTTTATTTGTTAGGGGTGGTTTTTACACACCATCACCACAATAGTCCCTCAAGTCTAAGTATAAATATTTATATTATAGTTAGAATTAGAAAGTAGTTGTGTTGTCCGAAGTTGTGTACCTTGTGACTTTTGAATTTCTGGAATAAATTGGAGGATCATCAGCAAGATGAATTTTGTCTGAAGCTGTTCTCTTCGAGGAGGCTTTGTATATCTGAAGCCTTACCCGAAGCGGTTGAGGTGAGGTGCATCTGCTACTTGTCAAGGCTATGACTCATTAATTACGGAGAAGCATGTTTTTTGAAACGTTGAAAACACGAGGCGTCATTAATTATTGCGTCCAAATAATTTGTTGTTTTATACGTCTTTTGAAGACAAAGCATCTGATGTACTTGGTGGCTTAGATTTAAATATCAAATGAACTGTTGGATGATTCAGATCGACATCTAACAGCTGGGATTAAGAGCTTTTATCTATAAAAGGTGATAGTTTGGGGCAAAAAATCACTTTGCCTTTACAAAATCAGCATTTCAATCCTCCAAATCTCTCATTCTCATTTATTCTCTTTCCTTTGCATTTGTATATTTCGGTGACTTTTCTTCACCCTTTTTTGTATAATTTGTAAGTACTTTGAACTTTTAACTCAAAACTTAATGGTATCTTCACATTCTGATGGAGGGATTTGGATCACAGCTAAATGGCTTCTGAGATGGGGATGACAATAACAAACACAGCCGATCTGGTTCGACCCATTAGGGACGGGCAAAGTGCTTTACCTACAGGGGAGGGTAGGAGAAATGATGAGGTGGTGATGTGAACCCAGCCAAGAATTGATCTTGGGAACCCACGAACAAGATGGAAATAACTCAAGAAAGCTAGAAATCACGTCGCGCAAAGATCAACTCCATCTGTTGTTCGACCCCTTATCAAGAACCGAGATTACGCTAAGAAATCCGATCTGTTGATTACCCGGAACAAGAACCGTGAAATGGAAATGCCACAAAAGGGCTGCGGTCTTCTTTTGATAAGTTCAATTAGATCTTTAAGCCGCCAAGAAAATTGGAGGAATAAATCACACCAAAGTTGTATAAATATCATAATAATGTCAAAAGTTTTTTTACAATGAAATAATGCAAAGTGTTTGTATGAAAACTAAGGAAACCTATTTACCACGAAATTGAACCCAAGATATGCTAAAAGATACTAACAAAAGGTAATTGAATCAAACTAGGAAACTAAATAAAAATTGAAAATTCTCTCTAGAAAACTAGCCCATGCTGCTGCATGGTTATTTCCCTTGCAGCCGAATGGGCAAAACCAATTTGCCCATGAAACTTTCGGGGTACTAGCCATGCAGCCGTATGGCTTGGGGAACCATGCAACCG